CTCTCTCTTCTCCCCGGTTGACGGGCGGCGGGGAGAGGATGGTGTCCGGCTGGGAGAAGGGGCGCGGCGCGGCGGCTGGTGGGAGGGAAACTAGCGGAGAGAAGGGAACCAGCCCGGCGGCGGAGGCAGCGCCGCCGCGGTCGTGGTTGCGGACGACGTCGACGTCGACCTCTGCATCCTCGGCGGCGGGATGAACGTGTCCCGCCGACCGGCCGACATGCACGCGCATCCTCCGAGGCGGCCGTCCACGTGGGCGGGTGAGGGGGCCACCTCGCTAGCGGGAGAGGGGAGAAGCGGCCGAGTGCGAAGACAACCACAGTGACGATGATGACCGTGCGGCGCGTGGCAGAGGCTGATCTCGCGAGCAGGAAGCTCTTCGTCCACGGCCTCGGCTGGGGCACCAGAGCCGACTACCTCTGCTCCGCGTTTATGTGCCTAATCATACAAAGGTAGAAGCAATAGCGACTAGTACTAGCTGACTGGAGTATATTTTGCTTCGTCATCATCATTTGCTTGTGTTATGACGGGGTTGATGAATGAATGAGTGATCATTGTTTTCGGCAAGAAAACACCGTTCCGGCCGGGCTGACGAGGAACCCATATCGATCCGCTCGCCGCGGCCCATGGAAACCCAACAGGAAATGGCGGCGCTACCTTCCGCCGCCGGTGGCTACTAACGGTGGGTGATGCTCGAGCACATTGACGAACTCGAGGTCGACGACGAGGACTCCAACTACAACTCCTACTCCGCCGCTGCCGACGACACCGCCAATCCCGTGAGTCCATGACGACCTCGCTCACCTCTGACGGCCACGTCGTAAGCGTCTACTTCCGCCTCGAAGCGCCCCCGGCGACGTCACACCTATGCCTCTGGCGGTCACTCTTCTCCATTTCCGTCGCCGTTGTCGTCGCCGGCCGCATCCCCTAGCGCAAGAGAGAGATGAAGAGAGGGGAGAAGGAGAGAGAGATGAAGTAGAAGAGGAGGTGTGAGTTAGACTGACATGTGGGGTAGCGTTGGTCCCACCATTATTATTATTTTTTTTGTGTGTGAAACTGACATGTGGGTCTCACGGGGTTTATTATTTTCCCAGGTCAAATTGCCATGTAAGCGCCACGTCATACCACGTCAGATCGAGACCGAGTTAAAATTAGCCACGCAGGCGCCACGTCAGCCAAAACCGCCATCGAAACCGCCGAGGGATCTAATATGCACCGGTTTTGATAGTTAAGGGACCCGTTGTATCTGGTTTTGCGGTTGAAGGACGAAAATCGGATTCGTTGATAAGTTAAGGGACCTTAGATGAACTTATTCCGGTGCACATCCTTGCAGGCCCAAAGTTTCACCCGTTCAAGGTCGCAGACGGGCTCGGCCGTGTGCTCCTTGCCTGCTCCACGTGGGAATAAGTTCATCTGAGGTCCCTTAACTTGTCAACCAATCTGATTTTCGTCCTTCAACCGGAAAAACAGATACAACAGATCCCTCAACTATTAAAACCGATGCAGATAAGGTCCCTCAGCGGTTTTGATGGCAGTTTTGGCTGACGTGGCGTCTACGTGCCTAATTTGACTCGGTATTCGTCCCACGTGGCATTGACGTGGCGCTTACGTGGCAATTCTATCTCCCAAAAATAATAAAAACCATGGGCCCACACGTCAGTTACAAAAAAATAATAATAATGGTGGGGCCCCAAGTAGGGCCCACATGTCAGCTCTCTCTCTCTTCTCGTCTCAATCCCCTCCTTTTCCTCCTCCCTCCCCCATGCCACCTATCTTCATATCTCTCCCCTTTCCTCTCTCCTCTCACCGGCGGAGATGCGGACGGCGTCGAGGCGCGGCCTCCTCCACTCCCGCCCCCATGGGCCTACTGCCGGCGGCCGCTGCCCTCTCCTCGTCGCCCGCCGCGCCTGCCTCCGCCGCCTCTGGATGTTCCCGCCGCCGCCGCTGCTTCCCCCTTGCCTCGGCCTCCGGTGGCCGTTCTCCAGCACCGCCTTCCGCCCCCGCACCCTCCTCAGGAAACGGTCGCCGCGCTCGCCTCCGCCGGCGACCGAGCAGGACGGGTCCGGGCACCGGAGCGACGCAGTTGTAGTGGGAGCACCGAGCACCCCGACAACTTCATCCCGCCGGGGCCGAACATGTCGAAGCAGATGGCGCAGGTGAGCCGCCGCCGGTTGACCCGCGTGGGCACGGTGCTGTTGCCGACATTCTCCACGGTGCTGGAGGCCGGCTTTGAAGCGCTCGGCGACGGCGTTGTACTCGTCGGTGCACGCGTCGCCGCTCCCCGTGGCGCGCTCCAGCGGGAGGCAGCCCATGGGCTGGAGGCCGTTGAGTTCGACCTTGCGGGCGCCCGGCGCCGAGCGCGTGAAGCTCGCGGACGAACGACTCGGCGACGCCGAGGAGGTAGTCGCCGTACGCCGCCGCCGTGGAGTACTCCGCCGCTTGGCCGCACGCCACGGCGTAGTAGTTCACGAGGAAGTCGTTGGTGCCCATGCTGACGATGTAGAGCGCCTCCGACAGCGTCGCTGCCTCCGCCGCGTCATCGTCCCCCCGGAAGCTCCGAAGCCTTGCCGCGTACTCCTTGAAGTAGTCCAGCTCCTTCCACAGCGGCAGCACCGACTGCACAACGCGACCTCACAAAATTACTTCATGGATGTCATGTGTGATGTCACCAAAGAACACCATGAAAGTGTAGCTAAGCTAGCTATCGTTTTGCTCTAATGGAAGGCTAACGAAAAGATCAGAGGTGGCATTGTCGGAGCCGGCGGAGGCAAAGCACGCGCCGGCGGCGAGGCTGCTCAAGTTGACGGCCGGGTCGAGGTAGGCCGGGACGAGCGGCGGCAGCCCGAACGTCTCGGAGATGAAGTCGACGGCGAGGGTCCAGATGAGAAGAGAGAGAGAGAGCTGACATGTGGGGCCCACTTAGGGCCCCACCATTATTATTTTTTTTTGTGTAACTGACATGCATGCCGATGGTTTTTATTATTTTTTCGGGGATAGAATTGCCACGTAAGCGCCACGTCAATGCCACGTGAGACGAATACCAAGTCAAATTTACCATGTAGGCGCCACGTCATCCAAAACCGCCATCAAAACCGTCATGGGACCTCATCTGCACGGTTTTGATAGTTGAGGTACCTGTATCTAGTTTTCGGGTTGAAGACGAAAATTGGATTCGTTGACAAGTTAAGGGACCTCGGATGAACTTATTCCGCTCCACGTAATTCGGCCATAACTTGCAGCTTCTGAGGCCCATGACTCAAAAGAACTCTACACGGCTAGGCCGGTGTAACCGCTCGATATAGGCCGGATTGATCTGCTGTTGCATGTTGAGGCCCATGATTACAATACTAAAGATGGCCCAGAATTACATTACACTCTTCTGGAAGATTACCTGTGGGAATTTTGTGAAGCTCTCTGTTGGTTGAAGCACATGTTCCCCGGACCTCGGCGCCTGGCCATGTAACCGACTGTTACGTTCGTGGCAGCAAAGCCGGTGAACCATGTGGACAACATGGGACATGGTGGTACGGTGGTGATAGCTAGGCTGAAGCAAAAACATCTGTGGCTCCCCGGACTCTTCTCCCGTCGGGCCTCGGAAACCGGGCAGCCTGATCCCGTCGAAAAACAGAAAACGGCCGGTCGCCCAGCCGGCCGTCGCACGCGGCACGCCCACGCCCGCGGCACGGCGCGTCCGCGCCTTCGCTCGCGCGACGCGTCTCACGGCCGGCTGCTCCTCCGTTCCGGAGGCGCTCGCCCCGTTCCCACGTGTTGCCCGTGTCAGGCGGAGCCCGTCGCTAGTCGCTACTAGCTTCTCTGGAACAGTCCGGTTCCGTACCTTTCGCGTGGCCCGCAGACCACGCCGCACCACCTGTTTCCACGTAATCCGCCCAAAAAAACCACCGGATCAGACTCGATATCCCCCCTCCCTGCCATACCCGCGCACGGCGCCATCATTCACGTGCAGTTAACAAACTCGCAGTAACTCTGTTTGAAACGTGGGGGAGAAAAGAAAATTCTCCTGTAGAATATCACACACACCGTTATGCAAAGGAAAGGAAAAATCTTCCTGTCGCTAACACAGTTGCATTCCAGGGGTCCAGGGAGGTGGCCATCACCACCGTCACTACATCACATCTATTATACCAGTTTAGGCAGCAATCCTACGCGGAGCACAATCACTCGGCGCGTAAAGTTGGGAGCAAGAAGAGTACCGGATCGACCTAATTCGCGCCCACTGAATTAATCAATCAGTAAAGCTGCCACCGTGCCACCACACACCAGGGTGATCAGTCATCACGCTGTGCGTAACTGCGTTAGTTGTTGCGTCCCGCCTTGTCCGTCCTTGTCACCCACCACCGGCCAGCCCTGACAAGCATCGTGTTGATAGCCACATGCGTTTGGATTTAGCAAATTATACCAGCTTTGGTGTTCAGGATAAGCCCCGCTTGTTTGCAACGCCGATACTGTACTCCTGCACGCTGTCAAGTTACCATTTCTTTGGTCTTTTCCTCTAGCAGCAGCAGTTCATGCCTTTGTCAGGCGTTGTTTCCACGTCGAGGCGTTTGTGTCCTATGCAGGGCAAGTAACTAAGTACTCCCTCCGTTCCATAATAGATGACATTTTTGACTTTTTATTTGTAACGTTTGATCATTCGTTTTATTTAAAAAACTAGTGCAAATATAAAAAAAGATAAGTCATATGTAAAGTAATTTTGATAATAAAGCAAATGACAAACAAAATAAATAATAATTCTAAAATTTTTTAAATAAGACGAATAATCAAACATTGACAAACAAAAACTTAAAAAGACAAGTAATATGGGATGGGATGGAGGTAGTATCTCTAGTAATCTGAGCCGGTTCCGCGGGATCTTTGCCCGCTCCGCGAGCGCGCGAGTACGCGACAACCCCCACGCATTTGGCGTGTCCCCTTATCCTCGTGAGCGTGACGTGCCCTCGTCGACGCGATTTTTATAAGCATCTTGTGGAGCTCAGCGATCAGCCACTGCCGCATCGCAAGCTGGAGCAGCGAGCACCGTAGCAGCAGCAGCAGCAGCCTCCTGGTACACACTGCACTACACAGCGCAGCAGCTAGCGATAGTGTATCGCACTTACTGGATACGCAGTCGAGCATCTCCAGCAGCAGCAGCAGCGGAGTGATCAGCGATGGAGAGCAGCTTGGTCGACACAGCCGCCGCCACTCTCTGCCTGGCGGCGGCCGTCGGCGGGCGGCGCCGCGCCGGCAGCTTCTTGAACTGCTCGTGCTCCTCCAAAGGTATGTACATCTACCGTTTCCATCGTGCATTCGTCGGGCGATCTGGATATCTGATGGAGTTTGTGGTTTTTCGGTTGAGCAGAGTACAGGGTGAGCGCATCCTACTCCATTGGGCGGATGCTGAGCGGGGTGAGGTCGGCGGCGCGCAAGAAGCTGTTCAGGAGCGAGCCGGCCGACCTGCTGGGGATCAGCTGGTCGCCGGACTCGCCGCCGTCGAACGGCACCGACGGCGGCCACCACCACCATTGGTGGACGGCTCTCGAGAACAACTTCGTCCTCGAGTCCTCCGAGGACGAGTACGGCGGGGTCGTCGTGGACGCCGACAGGCTGCCGTCCGACAAGGCCGCCTTCGCGCGCTCGCTCGCGGCGTCACTCTCCTACTGGAAGTCCGTGGTACGTACGGGCGGCCAACATCTTGATCTCTCGGATCGAATAGAACAGATGTTGAGTTCAGTTCCTCATCAGTTCATTTCAATGTGGATACATGATGGTGGAAAGTGTTTTACAGCGGCAGAGCATACATCACCGATCACCCTCTTACTGTAGTTCACCCGTCTTATGATTTTTGATGTTTCAGGGAAAGAAAGGGGTTTGGCTAAAGTTACCAGTGGATCGCTCAGAGTTTGTTCCTATAGCAGTGAAGGTATTGTTCTTTTTCCCGTTGTGAATTCAGAATACCTGAAGCTCACCTGTAGCGTTGAATCTGAAAGATAAAATAAAAAATAAAAGAAAAAGAAAGGTGGGGGTTTTAGTCAGATATGCAATGGTGATTTTGACATTGGAATTTGGAAAGTAAGTCAGGAGATTGCTGATGGTGTTGCTTAACTCTGTCTGCAGGAAGGTTTCAAGTACCACCATGCCGAGGAAGCATATGTGATGCTGACATACTGGATTCCTCATGAAGAGCCATGTATGCTCCCTGCAAATGCATCTCACCAGGTTGGAGTTGGGGGGTTTGTGATCAACGATCAAATGGAGGTCGGTTTCATCTGGTTTGCTGTTGTTTTCATTGGAACAGTTTAACTGAAAGAGTTTGTGCGTCTGACTGTATTCTCAACAATTGAATAGGTCCTAGTGGTGCAAGAAAAGTACTGTGGTTCATCTTTGGATGGTGCTTGGAAACTCCCCACAGGGTTCATTCTTGCGGTAAGAACATATGTAATGGTACTAATATATACATATGATGTGTGTCGCTGTTACTAACGCAACGCTTGCTTGCAGTCGGAGGAAATATTTACAGGAGCTACTAGAGAAGTCAAGGAAGAAACTGGGGTAAGAAATGGAACGCTTTGCTATTCAGTTCTCTCCTCATTACGATCAATTCTCAGTTCTCAAAGTACTGTGGTGTTATCAACTATGCAGGTTGACACTGAATTTGTGGACGTTGTTGCTTTTAGGTAATTATCTTCCTCATGGCAGCATGTAATCCTATTGATTAGCTCTGTTGAAACTGTTCCCCCCTTAATCTGAAACTCTGAATTTTCTCTCACCAATTTTCATCTTTTACAATGATAGGCATGCACACAACGTGGCATTTCAGAAGTCCGACCTGTTCTTCATCTGCATGCTAAGGCCTACATCAAACAATATCAAAATCGACGAAACAGAGATTCAGGCAGCGAAGGTACAACATCTTTTGAACTTGCTGAAACGTTTTCACGAATCACGACATGATGTTCAGAGTGCACATGCTGGAAGCCTGGAACAACAAATCTTTCTGGAAAAAAAAGTCTGAAACATCCCTTGTGCCCTTGGTCTCTTTTTTCAGTGGATGCCGCTGGAGGAGTTCGTCAAGCAGCCGTTCATCCAGGGGGACCACATGTTCCAGAAGATCATGGACATCTGCATCCAGAGGCTCAGGAAGTGCTACTGCGGCCTGACCGCGCACAACGTCATCTCCAGGTTCGACGGCAGGAGGTCGACGCTGTACTACAACGTTTCTGAACCTGAGGATGTGAACTGCAATGCTTCTTGACAACGGATCGCCCAACCTTCCGTCAGGTTCGCGTTGTGATCTAGCATTAGGCTCTGTGCAATGCAGTGCAGAGTCTCGAGTACAGCGACCTGGGTAACTGCTTGTGAAGCAGAAATCCTCTGTAAATATGAAAAGAAGATAGGATTTATGGCAGGTCGGGTAGCTCTGACCGGCTGTTGCAGTTTCACGTAGATTGCAGCTGAACTGAAGAAGATCTTGAAGACTTTTCAGAAAATTTCGTTTCTGTGTATGCGCTCACGCTAAGCAGCTGCTTAATGTGTATCTAGTGTTGCTATGGCGAAAGCAAAGGACACGTACACACCAAGAACCAGGACACTAGTAGGATGTGATTGCGCTCCGAGTTCTGCACTTACGCGAACAGTGTGCCAAAATTTAGGTACTTGCAACATTGCAAGTATCAAATGTGTATGCAACCCCTTCTTTGCGCGTGCAAAGTATAATTGAAGAACCTCCTGAATGTCTCATCACTATTCTGTAAGTGTGATTTTGCAGCCATACATGACACAACACATTCGAGTCTTCGACGCCTTGTCTGCTGTATTAATCAGTTTTCTCCATTTGGAAATGAAAGACGGGTTGAATGATTTTGGGACAATTTTAATCGAATCTCTTAATCTTGCATCAAACTGACATGATCCGATCAACATGATATATAGGCTAGCCCATCAACATCGAGATTAGAGATGTGATTGCTGTGGGGGTAGTGGAGAATGCAGGAACTGCCGCCGTTTCTCTCGTCGTTGACCGGAGAAATCGTCGTCTCTCTCTGTCACCGGGGCCCGCGGGGTCAGGTTTGTGACGCCCCACTAAAATTCATCAACCTACTCAAAAGATACAGCTTTCGCCATCCCCTAAATACAAGGTGGGAGTTTTCCCACCAACCACAAAACTCTAAATATCAATGACATGTGGGACCCACGCACTGGTAGGTCCCAGCAAACAGTGAGCCAAAAAGCAACAGGTAACTGGGGCCACCGAAGGCTAACAAGAGTGCTAGTACTAAACGTTCCCTTTGATAACCTCGAAACCTTTCCCTTCTCTACCTTCAACCAAAATCAAATTGAAACGGAAGAAATTGGAATCCCTCTTCTGTACCCTACTCTCTCGCTCCCTTCCGATTTCCTCGAGCGCTAATCTGGCAGCGAATAGCAGCGAATGCTGCGGCCGTAGCGAGATCTGTAGCAACCAGTGCGCCTTCGCCGTCGGCGGCGGCTGCGGGCATGGCGGTCCAGAACGGCGGCGGCGATGGCAGCGGCAGCGGCGCGGCGTCGGTGGTCGTCAACGTGTACGACCTGACGCCCATGAACAATTACCTCTACTGGTTCGGCCTCGGCATATTCCACTCCGGAATCGAAGGTTTGCTTTGAGCTCTCTCTTCGGTGCTACTGTTTTTTCTCTTCCCTTTCTTGGTTGATGCGGTGAATCAGTGATGCAAGTGTCTTACAGATTCGTATATATGCTTCTTCTGAAAATCTGTAGGCTTCTTTTGCCAATTTTGGTGATTTTTAAAAGAGAGAAAAAGAAAGTAATTCGATAGAAGAGGAGAGAGCTTTTTGGGCGAGGTTTTGATTGCCTTCCTACGGGTGTGATCCAAACTTGTGGTGGGGTTTAGCAAACCAAGCAAATATAAAAACATGGAATGTTTCTAGGGCAAGAGTTGAGAGTATGCTCAATTCACTCATAAATCATGCAATAATAGGGGAAACGTATGATGAAAAGAATTTAAAGTTCTAACTTCTAAGCAAACTTGGGTTTAGCTCCACCTACCTTACATTTGCACTTATACATTTTAAAAAAAATCTTCAAGACCCATACATATAGGGCATGCTGCAATAGGTGCGATATACACAAAAAGAAAAGGTAAAATGTCAACATATGCAGTGACACATATCTGGACCCGAAGTATGAGTGTAGTTTGCTTCGATTTGCAAAATTGAAAAGGAAGTAGAATTGAGATTTGTTTGCATTGCTGTTCTGAGTGTGACATTAGTGGTTATGCCCTAGTGCCATGTTAGCGAGAAAAAAGTACTGGTGGAGTTTGGTACGCTAAGTATTAACCATTAAAAGCTGATTGAAAATGATCTGCTCATGCTTCATTGTACAATTCATGGATTCGGGCTTTTAGTTTGTTCATATGCCTAAATTGAAATTGTATATCAGCATTATTTGCTTGCACCTGTATGGCTGTACCTATTTTTCACCTTTTTCTCAGCCTGCTGTTGGTGGCTTCCTGTACTGTGCTAACTGATTCGATGAGCTTAATTCAAGTGCTATTTCGCTGTTAATTCTAATGAACAGTCCATGGCGTGGAGTATGGATTTGGAGCACATGAGTTCCCAACGAGTGGGGTGTTTGAGGTGGAACCAAAGAACTGCCCTGGCTTCGTCTATAGAAGGTCTGTTCGGATGGGCACAACTGGGATGTCCAGGGCAGAGTTCCGCTCGTTCATTGAAAAACTCACTGGGAAGTACAATGGTAATTCATATCACTTGATTTCAAAGAATTGCAACCATTTTACAGATGATGTGAGTAAGAACTTAACTGGAAAACCAATCCCTGGATGGGTGAATCGACTAGCAAGAGTGGGTCAGTATCAGTATTTCACTAGTTTTATGTATTTTTTTTCCTGGCATGCTTGACACCATGGTTACCTGATTTATTTGTGAAAATTCTTAGGTTCCTTTTTCAACTACCTTCTGCCAAAAAGCATCCAAGTTTCTGCAGTTAGACACGTCCCAACACATCCTGCATTTTCTGGTGAGTTTCTTCCTGGCCCTGTATTTTACTTGTGATTTACTTAGTTAGCTAGTTTGTATTGATGTATTATCCTCTGTAGTTGCACTTAGTTGCTAGGTAGTAGGTACTGCTTGTTCTGTACTAGTTCACATTCTAGATGGCAATTATTTATACTTTGAAATGTTAAATGGCCATATGCGTGTTGTTTTCTATGATAATGAGTGTTATGTTAGGTGTGTGTTTCCAATGATGTGCCCCTACCATATCTTTTACTAAAAAACAACCATAGAACCATTTGGTCATGTGCAAAATCTATCCAAAAAATCTAATATGCTATGTGTTACACTTATTTTCTCCGTTTGACTTAGGTGGCACTTTCTTTTGATCAGAAAGTTAGGTTATTCTTTGATCTTCTTGATATATCAGTTTTAGTTATATGGAGCTAATGTGTGCTTCGTATCAGCTCTGGCAAAAGAGCGATTACTGATAGTGTCTGCTCATTTGCTTCCTTTTTGTGAATATGCAAAATATTTGAATGTAATTGTACTTCTATGTCATTGTGAAAATCTTTGCTTCTACGAAAATGATTACAAACTGTTGGATGGCTGCTCCAGCCAGATGCCAAATCTTTGCTTCTTCAGCAATATCCATGGCCACCTCTCTCTAGGTTCCTCTGTTTCAAAGCCGAGGCAACAGCATGAAGAATTCTTGCTTCTACGAATTGTGTTGCTTTAGCTCACTTTCTTGAGTAACTGGCCTCTTTAGGTAGTTCCAGATTTGCAAGGAATGACATGATTTCTTGATACCTTCACTTTGTTCTGTTTTCTAGCTGTTATTCGCATTAGTGACATTCAGCTATTTAATCTTTCCCTCTTCAAATGCACTCGCAGATGATGATATGGATTCAAGATCTTGTTCTATTAGTGGGGACAGTGATGTGGATGAGCTGGACCAACACCTGCTGTCAGCAACAACCATCGAGCTTCATTCTATAGAACACCAAAGCTAGCCAAAAATGATATCTGACATCGGCAAACTTTTGTGTTCCGTGGCAGCGACAGTTGAAGACTTCAATTCCTGTATCTAGCATCGAAGCGCTTCTCTCGTGCTCCACTACTGCAATGTGCAAAGTCCTGGCAAATGTTGCCACCTTTCCTGGCAGTGTTGCTAGCAGAGACGGAACTGACACTGAGCCGTCGATCCTGAATCCATATAGCGCATGCTAATATGGAAATCATACCTGCGATATAGGGCAATGCTGAGGCGGCCACAGCATATGTTGTAACACAAACTAGTGCCGTATAGCCTTAAGACAGTGATCTAAGTTAGTAACATCACACGAAATTGATTCTTTGTGTTATATTTTTTTTGGAATTGGCAATTATATTGTGTCCAGTTATATAATTATAAAGTGTTTCTACTCTACAGTATCCACGTTTTACAACATTTTCAGGTCATCAAGGAGAGCTTGGGCTGCTCGGCAACTTCCTCTTGCGTGTAGCTTGAACTGGACGCAGAAGACGATGATTTCCAACTCACCGCATGATTGTCAGGACCCGAAATGAATTCCAACAGAAATGGAGTAGATACGATGGATTTGGGGAAGAATTTGTGGTCGCCGCAAGCCACAAGGCTCAGTTTTCTTACCCATTTCACAGGCCAGGATGACTTACAACCTGATTAGTGTTAATCACTCGATATCAGCTTAAGGACCGCTAATCCCCGCCAAAACTCAACACGACAACGCTTAAACTTAAACAGTGTTTACTAGGGCTCCTGGGCCGTTCTATCTTCCTTACTTCAGCGCTGTCGCAATCTCAGCCTTCGAGTGCAGTCGGCAATCTGGGACTCGTGTCGCCGTGTTCAGCCGGAAGAAACAGAAGCCTGAAAACTCTAAAGAAACATAACTTTTGAACTCCAAACTAAAGCCTGAAAACTCTGAAGAAACATAACCCTGAAGTCCTGACCTCCAAGCACTGAACTTTCTAAAACTAAGGCTGTGTTTAATTCAGCGCAAAGTTTGGATTTTGGTTGAAATTGAAGATGATGTGACTGAAAAGTTGTGTGTGTACGACATGTTGATGTGATGGAAAATGACTGAAGTTTGGATCCAAACTTTGGATCTAAACACAGGCTGTTTTAGAACACAGGCTGTTTGGATCTAAACTCTGAAAACTCTGGACTCCAAACTGAAGCCTGAAAACTCTGAATAAACAGAACCCTAAACTCCAAACACTGAACTTTCTGAAACTGAACCCTGGAAACTCTGAAGAAACAGAACTCTGAACTCCCAACCGAAGCCTGAAAATTCTGAAGAAACATAACTCTGAACTTGAGGTCCTGACAATGATGGGTTATTCGTCCGTTACAATGAGACGCGGATCTCGGACTGGCAACCTAAAATAAAACAGATTGGGATTCGGTGACATTCCCACATGTCAGTGACTCAATGTCACCGAGAATGTCACGGGGGAATGTCACTAAATCTGCGTCCAAATAAAACTCGCTATACCCAGTTCGCATATGCATGCATTTATGACAGATTTTGATTCATAAGGATTCGGTGATGGTAGCACCATTTGTTTCAAAGGAATTGATCTTAGGGAAATACAAAGGAATATTTCCTTTCCTGTAGATTCTAGTGGGAAACAAAGGAAAATTTCCATCCACTCCAACATTTCCTTGAGTTGGATTTCTGTGTTTTTCAATCCTTTGTTCTATACATATATTCATATCCTATTTCTATGATTTTCCTATTCCTATATTTTTACAATCTTGTGCTCTGAACGAGCCCTTAGCCTATATCCGCATCCATATAGGGTTTACATTTGCGTGTAGAAAGTGCCACATAACCTATCATATATATTACTTACAAAAGATCTGTATTTATGATCCCCTATGGGAATGCATTTGAGAAAAATCGGTCCTGTCGATTCTTAACAATCTTATTTTTCTGCCCACAAAGAAATAAAAGAAAGCCATTGCAATTGCTAGAAATACAAAGGCTACTAAAGGCACGAAAATAGAGGGTAAATTAAAATCCATCATAGAATAGGTGTCTCCATTCAAATTTACTCACTGAACCACATCAGCTGCACCAAGCTCTACTCTTAAAAGGCTAAGACTGTTGACAACTGAAGGAGCCTGCCTTATGCTTATATAAACTGCCCGCAAGTCAGTGTTGGTCATATATGTAGAACACCTGATCATTCATTGTGTGTTCTACCTGCAGTAATTTCAGCTTGGGACTTTACATTATGCTGCTCTTTATCTATGAAGGGCCTACTTTCCAATAGTGATAGGTTGATATAAACTTTTTCCTCCAACAATTTCCCATTATTCCAACGGATGTTCTTGATTACTATTGTGTGCTCAGACTCATGATTATGTTCCTGTAATATCTCATTGTTCTGTATATTCTGTATTATCTCACTTGGCATTTCAAAAAGATCCATGGTTTCAAGATTTACCAGGTTCCTGATGTCTTGGGGTAGTTTATTTAGCTGAGCACATCGGCCAAGCATCAACACATGTAGATCTACAAGACTCCCCTTCTGAAACTCCAGGTGAGAAAGGTTAGGCAAGTCGTGCAAAGTTAGTTTCTTAAGGGCTGGAAAATAACCATTTGCAAAGGTCAAACTCTTCCCACTGTATGCATTGACAAGGCTAAGATGCAACAACCGGGGAAGCGATGAGAGCAATCCAAGTGAATCTTCCATGAGGTTAGATGAATGCAATCGCAACTGCATGAGGTTATTAAGGGAGCCAAACCAAGAAGGTAACTTACCTCTTACTAACATCCCCGCTAAGGCAAGTTTTTGTAGCTTTATTGGTGGAGGATAGAATGGTTCCAGGTCTAATTTTACATTAGCATCCTGACTGATAATTCCCAAGCGCAGTAGGCAAGTCATTTTGGAGATGGACGAGGGCAAATGAATAAGATTGCTCTCATGCACACCACATAGCTCTAGGCTCCTCATGTGCTTTAAGCTTCCTAAGGATCTAACCATCTTCTCATCAGCTTCAATGTATTTAAGAGTCTGCAGGCAGGTCAGATTTTTCAGCCCATCAGGAAGCGCAATTGCCGTACCAGGGCCTGGATAGGTGAAATCTGCAGATCGGCGTCTATACAAAACCAAGTGGCGCAGGTTCTTGAGCTTTGTTATGCTTTGTGGTAATCTCTGTACCATGGACCACTTAGCATCTAAAGTTTGTAAGTTATGTAATTGTCCCAACTCCTCTGGAAGCTCACCGATGAGAGTGGAACGGATGCCAAGATACCGCAAATTAAGAAGACTGGCCACCGCACTAGGCAGTTTAGCTGTTGGAGTGAACCATAAGTTCAACACAGTCAATAACCTAAAGCTAGAGAAGAGTGAGGCGTCCAAATCTGCCTTAAATGCATGGAAGGAGCGAAGCGAGTTCATTTTGGGAGCTGACAAACGATCACTTCTGCATCGGTCAAATACAAGATGACGGGCTTTTTTGCTTGACTTCAATGTTACAGTGCATTTAGAGAACACAAAGAATCTTTCCTTTGTTGATCTGTGCACTATCATTTCCCTGATCAGGTCATGAATGCAACAGCGCTTTGCACGTCCAAACTCATTCTGGACAGCAGCCTGCAACAGGGAACGTTGCACTAACTGGTTAAGGTAATCATCCGCAACCTCCTCCATTGTGCCCTGTCCCTTTTCCTTGATTAAACCTTCTGCAATCCATGCTCTGATTAGAATCTTCCTCTTTATCATAAAATCCTCAGGGTATATACTGCAATACAGAAAACATTTCTTCAAGTGGTAAGGCAGATCATCGAAGCTCAGATTCAGTATGCTTGACACCTGCCCAATTCCATGATCACTGCTTTCATACCACACAAGGCTGTCATATACACTTTTCCAGGCAAACTCTGTTCTATCCTTCAAAACAAGCAGATTACCAACAGAAACAATTGCCAATGGCAGGCCACAGCATCTGTCCAGAATCTTTGAAGCCCAATGCCTCAGATAATATGGGCATTCTCGGTCTGCATCTTCCCTGAACGTGGTGTTGCAAAACAAAGACCATGCTTCCTGCTCAGAAAGTGGCTCCAGTCTGATGATCCTATTCGATGATGCCAGAGAAGCAATGTCCTGACTGCGTGTAGTGATGATTATCCGGCTCTTGGTTCCATCGTCAACAAAAGCATGACGGATCTCATACCACGCATGGGCATCCCAGACATCATCCAGCAAAAGCAAGTACCTCTTCTTGGCGAGATGCCCACGCAAAGCCTCAACCAGCGAGCGGTAGTCCATATTGTCCACGTCCCACGGCACGCAGCCGCGGTTATCCCGATGAAATTCCTTGGCAATTCTTCTAAGGAGGTCGTCTGTTGTGAAGCTCTTGGAGACAGCCACCCACGCAGCGCAATCAAAGTGGCAGGTTGCAGCGACTTTCTTGTACACGTTTGTGACAAGAGTTGTCTTGCCAACGCCGCCCATGCCGCAGACTGCGATCAGCAGCTGCCGGGGGTCAGTATCCCCAGTCAGCCATTTCATCAGTAACCTTTCGTGCATCGCAAAACCAACGATCTCACCCTCCTCTACGAAGTGCGACGCCTCTGCTATCTTCCGACCGATCATCGCCGCAGACAAGCCACCAGCGCCACCCGAGCTCGAGGCGGAGACCTCCGCCGGCCGGATTCCTAGCTGCTCCTTCGCGGCCGAGAGCTCGCGGAGCCTCTCCCGCGCCCTCCACAGGCGCCTGGAGAGCGCGAACCAGGCGCCCAAGTTAGCGCCATGGCGGAAGAAGCCGTGGCCGGAGAGGAAGGCGTACTCGTCCGCGGCGTCCTCCAGGTCGAAGGCGACGTCGCGCACCTGGTCAACCCAGGCGTCGGCGAGCGGGTCGCTGCCGTGGAGGGAGTCGACGAAGCGGAGGAAGGCGCGGAGGAGCTCCAGGTCTCGCGCCGCCGCTTCGATGCCCGAGCGAACCCCGGCGAGAGAGGAGAGCCTGACGGCCGCGGGTCCGGACAGCGCGGCGGCGACCTTCGCCGAGAGTGTCACGGCGATCATCTCCGCCATGGCTTCTGTTGCCTGTGCGAAAGCGAAACTGGAGCTTTGACTAGTTGGGCAGCTTCTGGTTTCTCTCTGGTATACGGAAGCGAACTGTCAGCGCAGTCTGCACAGAAACCGTCAGCGCAGTCTGTTCACAAAAAGTCCAACGAGTCAACCGTTTTGGAGCTGTCCGCATCATCACTGTGTCAAGGCGTCAACCGGATTAGAGCAAGGATAATATATAGGTCACTTATTACTATTAGCTTGTCTTAAAACCAACATATATAATACATTAACTATAAATTTAGCTATAATTTTCTTTTCCTCTCTTTATCTCTCTCTTTATTTATTGCATAAGAGCTAACCCCTTTGATTTTTTTCTACCTCTCTTC